GTTCAATATGCGGTAATAGACAGCAGGACAAAATCTCTAACCCTGATCTTTTCATCAAATATTCCCAAGCTGTCACCCATCTTTGTGACCGGTTGGGAATATTTCATGAAAGTCCTCTTTCGACATGAATATGAAATAATTTGTGCATTGGAAGAGATTAAAAGTATTTTAAATGTTTTCTCCTCATCACGTAAATATTGAGGGATACAAAATTTTAGTGCTCTTAAACAGAATCCAATAATTCCGGATTTTATTTGTTGTTATGGTGAGAATAGAAGTTTTACGAGCTCATTTTTATTAGTTCATTTACGATAGACACTTGCTTCTACATCATTATAAGTACGGTTTATCATGATATCAAGGAAATTAAATTCTATCATACGTTCGACTATTTTATTTAATCTACAAGTTCGTATAATATTGTTTCCCTGTCGTTGTGCCTATGGTTCTTAATTATAGTGACTACTCGCTCTGTTTTATTAATCTCGGCCGTCAATTTTGTTCCGTAGCTCAGGGTTTTAAATTTGGTATTGGCTAACACACATTTGAGGAAGACCATGGACATTAATAGTGTATGTAACGATGCACTTCAGACTATACAGGCTTACGGCCATATCACGTTGAACCACCGTTTCCTGTACAATCACCGACGTTAATCAACGTCGAGGCTGGTCAATACCTACATGGATGAGCGCTTGTGAATACCAGGTACTGTATGTGCGGGTGGTGTAATGGATAATGACTGGGAATTGTTAATCGGAGAGCCGTGTTTCAATTCCCGTAGGGTTCGTTATATTCATTTACGGGCAAATACCGTTAATAATATTAACTACCTCCTCTCCTCGCTCAGCTAATTAGTAATATCTATATTACTAAACCATTATTATCTCAATAAAAATAAAATAAAATGAAAAATTGTGTACAAAATACAAGATTTCGACGTTAAATAGACCAAAACGGCTGAGATGCCGCTAAACAAAAGCAACAAACGATCAGACCCTACACCACTTTAGTTCGCAGGATGCAGAACGAAATAAAACCATGAGACGAGATTGTAGTAGACGGCAAATTTTATTATTGCGTTATATTCTCGTAAAGGTGGGCTCTATTAGAGCGACGAAGAGTCAGGCGAGTTAAGGAGGGTGAACGGTTTAACCTAATTTAAGCTGCTAGGGACCACTGTCTTATGGAGAACCAGCCTTCTTTTATATGTTCACTTTCGTCTAAAAATTAATTCATCAAATCCGCTTGCCTCAGTTGAACTTCTTTGTCAAAACGATTCCTGTAACATCCTACAGATGTCTCATTAAGAATATATCTGCTGACAACTGATATCGCGAGATATGCACAGTCAAGAAAACTCCATCGTTCACCACAAAAGACTTGAAGAGCTTAAAAGACCTGCTGCTTTTTCGCGTGTCAGCACAAGACAGAAAGGTTTGAAGAAGGGTCATCGGAGGTAATAAGACATATTTACAAAGTTTTCGATTTCGCCCCGAACAAGGCAGTAAAGCTACTAAGACACAAGGAGCTACTGAACTTCGAAGAAACATTACGAATAAACAGAAAAGGAAACATTAATCAGGAAACAGTAGAAAGCGATTGGCATTGCATTTATATTTTTGGAGATTAAAGTTGGCTGGAAAGCATGGATTCAGAAGAGAGTTCCTCAAGCAAGAAATGCGAGAAAAAACTCTTAGCATAGAATTTACGGCTACATCTAGTCATCTCAACTGTAAAATGATGAGACCACAATGCCAGTCTAGTACTGCTCTTAAATTCATACAGTCAAGGTACCATAGCGACGAACGATTCCGGACAAGTACCATTAAAGTATTTATAGAAAAGACACTAATTGTCAACCTTACGCCGACGGAAAACTGATTGATGCCGAGATGGGAAGTCACACTGATTTCAGGTGTGCCTTCAAATTGAAATAGCTATAGTAATCGTAATCTGTACTGATACTGAATTTTATTTATGCTAACCTTTTTATTTGCCGTCTCTTTCTTTCTCAAAACCAACTTACGTTACAAATGTCACCTCAAAACAAAAGCGTCGTGAATGATTTCACTGTCCAGTAAACTATTTTATTTAGACAAATAGACATAAAGAGAGAGAGAGAGGGGGGTAATTGGAATTTTTCATTAATTAGGTGTAAACATACAAAGAGACCCTAACTTTGCTTTTCCTCAAGCGGAACCATAGAAGTAAAAACGATCTTGCTAATAATTCCTACGAGACAACCAGGTGATCCCACTTATCCCCTCCATAATTCTCGTCGTATATTTCATGATGGCTGCCAAAAACGTCATCATGGACACTGTCATATTCTTCATTCTTTTTTACCCAAAACATTTTCACACTTTAACATCATTATAAAATTTTTATTCCCTACCAAATCAAAGTTCCTGTGTCAAATATAAAAAAAAATTAGCTAGAAGGAGTAGGATGTCATAATAGGCGCAAAATAACAAATAAGACTAAAGCACTGCGTAAAATTTAAAAAAGAAAAACACATTCATTACGCAACAGAAAAGGTACAAATACAAAGTTTGCATAAAAAATTATTTTTAGGCGATTATTAATGCTGGATAACAATTTCTGATAAAAAGATTACCATCGTAAAATGTAAAAAAAAAATCGTTTGAAAAAAAGATAAAGTCATGAAGTTCTTCTTCTTCTTCTTCTTCTTCTTCTTCTTCTTCTTCTTCTTCTTCTTCTTCATGTGCCGTCTCCCATAGTTTTCTCTACCTCTTCTCTTTTCTGTATTTTCTTCTTCTTTCTCTCTCTGTTATTTAATCTACTGTCTCTCGCTGACTTCTCTGTCACTCCTCTTCCCCTTCCCTATATTTTGCTACCACCCGTAAACCAATCAGATCCTCCAGTAGAGAACATCGTTTCGTCTGTATTGGAGTTTTAAACAAAATTCATAAACATTTCCAAAGTCTTATATTTAATCCATGGCTCATCAGATATTCTTTTCTAGGTCAACTTCCATTCTTCATTTGGTTTATTTATTTCTGGCTTGTCGAGTTTTATTATTTAGTGGAGTTTTTAATGTCCTCTCTGTAATTTCTATTTGATATTTTAGAACATCCTAGAACGCTACATGAAGTATGAGCATGTTGAATATATACAGTAAGAATATGTATACAGTTATGAGTTTAAAACTTCATAATATATGGGCGGATTACTTTTTTTTTTTTTTTGCAGAAAGTCCAGAATCAGACGGTCATATCTGCTCTAGTCAGGTTATATTTCACGTACACCGTTCTAAAGCGCATATTTCAGAAACTCAACTCCCTATTGAGAAGCCCAGCGCCAAATCTACGTCTGAGGTTCCTGGCTAGTATCGCCTTGCCTCTGCGTCATGTAATTTCGACACTAATATGGCAGAAACGCTGACACTGAACCCAGTCTTTAAATATAAAGTTGAGGCCCCTAACGTCCCAAACCGCAATGAAGAGTCAACACAATAAAATATAAATTAAAAATATAATAAAATACTATAAAATATAAATATAATAATATAAATATAATAAAACACAATAAAAAGAAATACAATAAAATATAAATATAATAATATAAATATAATAAAACACAATAAAATATAAGTTAAATATAATAAAATACAATAAAATATAAATATAATAATATAGATATAATAAAACACAATAAAAATAAATACAATAAGATATAAATATAATAATATAAATATAATTAAACACAATAAAATATAAATTAAATATAATGTTGAGGCCCCTAACGTCCCAAACCGCAATGAAGACCCAACACAATAAAATATAAATTAAATATAATAAAATACTATAAAATATAAATATAATAATATAAATATAATAAAACACAATAAAAATAAATACAATAAAATATAAATATAATAATGTAAATATAATAATATAAATATAATAAAACACAATAAAATATAAATTAAATATAATAAAATACAATAAAATATAAATATAATATTATAAATATAATAAAACAAAATAAAATTAAATAAATTAAATATAAAGTTGAGGCCCCTAACGTGCCAAACCGCATTGAAGAGTCAACACAATAAAACCGGGACACTTTCTGTTTGACAGATGTACTCCAGATGACATGAATTATTAACACAAAGCTGCCTCACCAAGAAACAAAATGAAATCATAAATGGCTATATTAAAAAAATATGAAAATCATGTTGCACCATATTTTGGAATGAGGACAGCCTGTCTACGCGCCTTCAAAATTAGCTTTCAAATAGTTTTAATAGTGTGTCCACACTAATGTCTAAGATGCAAAAGTACAACAATCTTGGCCACTAAGCCTGGTCCTTCTAACTATCTGTGTTCCGCGTGAATCGTTAGTTCTTCGTTTGCGGTTGGTGACAGCAGAAATCTTTCAATGAGTCATCAGGTGTTTGAAGATGAGGACACGAATATCGCGCCAACTTGCGCTCACCCTCCCCTTCATTTCTTTCTTTTTCTCCCCCACTGCGTAACCACTTTTTTCTAACGTGGCAAAATTACTACCTACCTCAGAGTCCTCCAAATACGTAACTACCTTCATTTAAGCATCTGTTTCCCACACACTCATACTGCCGCCCATTCTCACCTTTTTTCCCGCGCTTTTCTTTACGCAACCAATCGGTATTCAATTCGATGCAGTTGCAGTAAGTACGTCATTGTTGCCATGGTAACGAAGGGTGAATACGAAATCCCTTAGGCTTTTAAGCGTAATCATGGGACGGTGGACTGAAAGGTACAATTTTATCGTGTGTGATTTTTTTCCCTCCATAAATGCATTCCCCGGGAGTTACTTTTTCGCCATCCTATTTCATGCTTGGTTTTGATGAAACATCCCTTCGGGCAGCAGTCATTTCGCTCTCATTTTTGTTCATGTGATTGAAAATTTTGACTGCTGCGAAATTTGCTGTTGTCTCCAGGTCCTCTACGTAAAATACTTCATAATTCTAAAGAAAATAAAAAATTGTATTAGATAGATAGATAGATAGATAGATATGAACAGACTGAGATAGATGAATAGATATGAACAGACTGAGATAGATAGATAGATAGATAGATAGATAGATAGATAGATAGATATGAAGAGACTGAGATGGATAGATAGATAGATAGATAGATAGATAGATAGATAGATAGATAGATATGAAGAGACTGAGATAGATAGTTAGATAGATAGATATGAACAGACTGAGATAGACAGATATGAATAGACTGAGATAGATAGATAGATAGATAGATAGATAGATAGATAGATAGATAGAGAGATATGAACAAACTGAGATAGATAGATAGATAGATAGATATGAACAGATAGATAGATAGATAGATAGATAGATAGATAGATAGATAGATATGAACAAACTGAGATAGATACATAGATAGATAGATAGATATGAATAGACTGAGATAGATAGAGAGATAGATAGATAGACAGACAGACAGACTGACAGACAGATATGAATAAAGTAACCATAAGCGTTCAAATATTGAATTGGAAAATATTGAAGTTTGCGTTCTTTAATTCAAAATTTAAAAGCTAAATGTTATCCTTCTCTAAGTCGCTATTGGGCATGAATACAAGTTACCAAATATAATTTATACACTTGCCTTGAGAAATGTCCACAAAAATTTACTCGCGTTGGCCAAGAATGTTTCCTCCTGTTAGTTTTCCTAATAATATTTTTTATTTATAGAGACATTTTATTTATAACTGAATTTCTACACACACACACACACACGTGTGTGTGTTTGTCTCTATATATATATATATATATATATATATATATATATATATATATATATATATATATATATATATATATCAAATGATGATTATTAGAGATAATTCCAAGGAGGATGTAAATCGAAAGAGAGCAATATCATAAAAATGAATAAGTAATCCTTAAAAATTCATTATGTAATGATAATTTATTTTATGGGCTACTGCCCAACTCATCAGGCCAAAATTACGTCAATAAAAGGAAATTAATTTACCTAGACACAAGAAAAAGAAAAAGAAAGAGAGGAAAAAAAGAAAAAGGAAAAAAGAAAGAAAAGAAGAAAGAAGGTAAAACTGTGATAGTTTTAATATTAAAAGAAAGAAAGAAAAAAAAGAAAGAAAGAAAGAAAGGAAGATGGGAGGAAACAAGTACAAAATATTTCGATAATGTCCAATGTCCCAAGTATTTTCAGCCACGTCTTTAGCCATTTTCACGGTGATTTGTTTTTGGTATTACTTTTTTTCATGTTCTCACTGCTTAAGTTTTATTTTATTTTTGCCTTGTTCCGAACTGGAGAATTTATGTAACACACACACACAAATACGTACTCACACATGTATACGGATGGTACGCAAGTCGATATCCGAACAGTATCGGCTGGGTCCCAGCAGAGAGGAGGTATGATATTGAAAGACCCGAAACCCATAATAAACCTCGGCTAGAAACATTACTGATCATGTGTACCAAACCGTCCAATGTATTTTACGATATATATATATATATATATATATATATATATATATATATATATGTATATCATAGTTCATATCTGTTCTTGAGTAGACGTCCTTGTTCTTTAAACCGTGTAAATTTTCTGACTTGTTCACTCGAGAGATTTAATAAAGAAAATATTCTTTTGTTTTATCTCAGGAAGGGGGAGTATAGGTGATGAAATCCAGGGGTGGCAACTTTGATGTCTGCCAAGGACCTGTCGACGGGGCTGAAGTTTCCGAATTGATGGTCATCTTCGTTTTATGTAAGGTTAACAAGATTATCCACATTGGCAGCCGCAGTATTTACCGGGATGATGGACTGATCTTAATACCAGATAACAACAGACCTAATGATTCCATCAGGAAAAAACCGTTGAAAATGTTCAAGGATTTGAATTTTAACATTACTGTTGAAATGAACAGAATATATATATATATATATATATATATATATATATATATATATATATATATATATATATATATACACGTTTCATTAAATAATATTGACAAGTGTTGTCTTGTTATTTTATGAAATTTTTTTCGTAACGTCTGATAAGTTTAATAACATTATCGTTGAACGAAGAAAGATATTCACAATATTGATCCATATTTTTTTTTTATTTAATACAATCTAAGCTTTCGGCTTACATAAGCCATTATCAAAGATGTCAATTACAACATAATATACGGACAAGACAGTGATGATAGTGCGCCATTGTTTACATAGATGATTTTTAAGCAACGATAAACACGTGCATACAAGACGCTAGAAGCGAAAATCGCAACGCATCTCATGACGTCACACATGACCACACGTCAGTGAATTGGAGAAGTATGAAGTATGGGAAGCCATTGGTATAAACCAATGACTTCTGTTGACATTTAAGAATATTTGTAGAGATGCCATAATTGATTTTGTTTAGGTTGGGTTTCAACTGTTTGATGTATAATGCATCAAGGATTTTTAGTTTTTGTCTATTGTTTTCATGTCGAAGTATAATTGTGTTTTCGACAAGTATTTTAGAGAATTGTGTGTGCGGACAGGCATGTTGTTTTAAATGCCTAAAAATGTTAGAGTTTTCATTCAAATGTAGTGTCAAGCGTCGTGAAAGCGAGTTTGTGGTGTGACCAACATAAATATTATTTAATTCGTTGGAGACACACTCTCCCAAATGGCATTAAATTTATAAACTATGTTGTTTTTTTTTGCAAATCGCTAACCGAGGGAGATATATCATTGCGTATATATATATATATATATATATATATATATATATATATATATATATATATATATATATATATATATATATATATATATATATATATATATATATATATATATATATATATGATACCGCTTTTATACATGTTTCTTTAAAGACGATTGATTAGTAACTAGTGAGTTAGTCAAAATAACTTAACTCCTTTATAGTCTACCAATAGAAGGTTGACCAATCAGAAGCCGCAGAACATTGTATCTGTCGTGTATAAAAGCGGCCATCTTTATTTACCCTACCGGAATGACCAGAGCCAACTTGTCAGGCGAACATGACAGACGGAAGAACTACGCTCTGCTACTTTGCTGTGATATCCACTGCGAACCTGCACTACGCTTTCCTACTGTCTCCGAAATATTCACTGCCACCCTCTGGATTCTATACTCGGGGACGACCGTCATGAATTTGTAACAGTTTTTTCTCCCCTCATGTTTGGCTTGTTTTTTTTGTTTTTTTTAGCGACATATCAATCTATGTGGGTTATCTAATGCCGAAATGTAAATATTTTAAATGCAATTATATGACTTCAACTAAGGATATATTGTACATAATTTTATACTTTCAGGACAAACGTGGTTAATACAAGTATAGTCTGCAGCTGATCTATTGTAGGTGTTACATGTTCTGACATAAACCTATTGTTTTGCGGAAGGATATTATACGTTATATTGACTGTTTTCAAATAGGTTTCTCGTGGTGTTTTGCTTGTAGGATTTGTGTCTTACAAGGGCTACGAGCCTAGTGAATTTTTCTTGACACCCTCACTGATTTATTGAGATTGCAGCACAAAACAGATAGTCAGCCAAGGGTTAAAGAAATCACCTACCCTCAGATATGTCTTACCAAAGACTCAGGGTCTGTTACTCCCGACGAATTTAGAACGTACCTGAGCACAAACTTGGTATTTCTATGTCCTTTTTTTACGGTTGTTGTTCTTACTTCTTTATTATTATTATTATTATTATTATTATTATTATTATTTCCTTTGATTTCTGGTTCCCGCCTGCAGACCTAAGTTTAGAAATGGCATCAAGACATTTTCCACTGACAAAAAAAAAAAAAAACAAAAAAAACATATTTTACATAGACAAAGGCCTTCGTAAAGTGTGAACTGTACACAATTTTTTTGTATTTCTTTAAGGCATGAGCTTCCAGGGATCCCTTCAATTAGTCTACTGGAATCTTTTCCAGCCAATCCGAGGGCCCCAACATTGATTGTTGATGTTCCCATGTGCCATATTTTTGAGATTTCAATTTCAAAGTCCTTGTATTTTGATAGATATTTGAACATCTTCAACGATACATTGCAGTCTGCAGGGACTGCCATATCAATAAGGAGGCACTTTTCTTTGTTTGTGGTCTTTAATAACAATATCTGGGCGGTTGGCTTTGATTGTTCTGTCAGTGTGTATTGTGTAGTCCCATAAAATTGTAACTACACCATGCACATAGACAGAACAATCATATCAGAACATATTATTATTATTATTATTTCCTTTGATTTCTGCTGCATACACACTTCCGTCCGGATCCCAACCAGAAACCTAAGGCCAGAAATGGCTGTATGACATTTCCCACCGACCATTTTTGTAAAAATAAAATCAGGTTAACTCATTTTACATTGATAATGCTCTACGTGAGCTGTACTTGCGAGTACATATTTTTGTATTTTTTTAAGGTATAGGCTACCAGGAATCTCTCCAATGAGTTTATCGGAACCTTTTCTAATCAATCGAAAGGCTCCGAGAACAATTTAAATTATTGATGTTCTCATGTGTCATATGTTTTAAATTTCCAATTCAAGATCCTTGTATAATTATAGTGTTAGTCGGAGATTGCAACCATTAAGCCATCGGCACGGTAGGAATGAATGTGGATTTTAGCGTATTTATTTTTAGAAACACGCCCAGTGACCGACAGTGACTCAATTCGCATTTGAGAAGAGTCTCGCTATATAGCTATAATAGTCACTGTTTACCAACCCACACCTCCTCCCCAGAGTTTTTTTTTTTTTTCAGGAGCCAATATATATATATATATATATATATTAAAGACATTTTTATGTTTAACGTTCTTTTTATAGATACAAGTATTTAAGTAAATGTTCTGCTTATAATAAACAGTATTAAATAACATTTACCGGCCTGAATGTCCGAGAAATTTTCATAGAAAATATTCATCCTTTGACAGGATTCGAACCTGCATTCTATACATATCTTCATTTACGCTGACGTGCCTTGACCGCTCGGCCACAAAGGATCGTTCGACTGTCAAGGTTGAATTTACTCCTTATAAACTTCAATCTTCCATGAATCTCGTACATTCATAACTGCTCATGGCGTATCAAATATTTTTCTATTTAATACTGTTTATTATAAACAGAACATTTACTTAAATACTTGTATCTATAAAAGAACGTTAAACATAAAAATGTCTTTAATAAATAAATCGTCGGACTTTGTTCATTTCTTAATATATATATATATATATATATATATATATATATATATATATATATATATATATATGCTAGATGAAACAGACTGTCGCCTCTAAGTGTTGACTTCTATGTTCACTTTTATATTTGCACACACTCTATCTCTGATATTGAGCACTTTATCCCATAAATATAGCTAATCTTAAGACTATATTTCTTCATATATATATATATATATATATATATATATATATATATATAAACATACTCACATATTGTTGTAAAGTAGTTTTCACAGTGGAGGCTTGTATTTCAATAAGTCGGTCCTAAAAGTGTCCGACGTACAAAACGTTAGGAATTTGCAATAATAGTTAATGACGCACCAATCTAGTTGTGGGGCTCATACTTTAATGTCCGACATCGACTGACTCACTCCACTCCACTGATTCCAACTGGCGACCGCTACTAATACTACTACTTATTATGTGTGGGAGAGTCTATTACAATAGAATAGGTAATGTTCTAGCATAACACATATATATGTTCGTGTTGGTGCGCGCGTATGTATGCGCGCGCGTGTGTGTGTGTGTTTGTGTGTGTGTATACTGTACCATGCATAAGCAATTTTAAATCATCTGTGTTCATTGATATTATTCTAATTGTAACCGTTTTTACTTTGCTATTTTATGTCTTTGTGTTCTTGCTCTTTGCTTGGAACTGTATGCCTTCTACCAAAATTCCACAGCGAATTTTTTTTTTTTTTAAATTATTCACATCGTAATTGTATATTTTAATATTTTCTACTAGTATGTTTCGTATGGAGTCTGGTAAATTTATGTGTGTATTTAAATGGATTCTAA